ATATGGATCCAGGCTCAAAATGAGCACCTTGATATGTGCTTGAGAATGGCTTTGTCTCCATTCAAACCCAGGTTTAAAGCCTTGCAGGTCAGCCTAAAGCCCACTGCTCTCATTAAGAAAAAAAAAAAAAAAAAGGTCAGTTCAGGTTATTTATAAAGTATGTGAATCAGGAAATTGTCTATATATTACACTGAACGATTTTTGTTCTCTACTTTTAAAAAAAACACTTTAGATTTTTTTCTTTAATAATTTAAAAGGTCAATGTATAACATGGATGCATAAACACCTCATTTTATTTCAGTGTTAAATTGTGTTTAAAGTGAACATGTCTGTCCGTACACAAATGATCAATTATCACTACCAAAAGTTTAGCCTCTTCTCTGTGATCAACATGATTTTTCTCTATGCTGAGTTCAAGTTTCGGTTTGGAAAGTAGAGAAAAAGGGGTTCCAACCACTAAACAGGTAGTTTTGGATCATTGACAAACAGTTTGTTGCTCCTTATCCAGTCCACCACAAACTCTAGCTCTCTTTGTAGTTTTGTATTTAACTCACTAATATTAGTTTCTGCTAAATATATAGTAGAACCACCTGCAAACATTGAGATGCTTGCTTTATCTAAAACAGATGGAAGATCGTCGGTAAAGATTGTGTTAAGAAGCAGCCAAAGACAACTTCCTTGAGGCACAGCCCTTAGCTTTGAAAAACTGCTATTGAAATAAACTGGTGGATAGGGATTGGCACTATACCTAGTTTAACAGTTAAATTTGTTAAATTTCAACTGGGACAGGTAGGACAGTCACTCCTACTGCCAACTTTGGCGGGTTGCATTCTATTAACTATTTTAATTGTAGTTTTTGCCCACATGTAATCATAAATAATGAGTAAATCTAAATGTGACTCAAGGTTATTACATCTCCCATGAGCACCGCCTGCAAACAGTGTTTGCTCATTTGTCCGTTCAGGACCGATATCAGAAAGGCAGAACAAAGTGTAAAGGTATTACAGCACATTCAATCCCGTGTCTTGTTTTTTTTTTTTTTTTACAAAGGGAAAAAAATATCAGAGTTGAATACTTGATAATGGCCGGTAGTGTCAAACATTTCATGTAGTTTGCCGAGAATTTACAATGGTTATTCACATTTTCAAAAACTGTAAATCTAGTTTAAGTAAACTTCAGTTTTAATTACATGAAACATAATTTTCTAACCACAAAATTGTGGCTGCTGAAAATGCTGAGTGGCATGTAACTTTGGAAATCCAATAGCCCCAGTGGCCAGTGGGCAAAAGTGTAAGGTAATTTAATAGCCCGGTTGAAGAGTATACAAATTTTAGATAAATGCCATGTCATGAATCTGAAACTGAATCTGTAATTAGTTAACGTCTTACGACTGGACAAGAACCTGTAGTTGTGTATCCCCTGCAATAAGAGAAGAATGTGTTAACGCACCACCTCTGCCACACTAGATTTTGATTGAAGCAATAGTCTAACATATATTTCTTCCTTTGTATTAATATATATGTCTTTATCAGTCTGAACTCTAATAGCTGTTGTTAAATTGACAAAAGATGTGATGGATCTTTAAAAGCTGTCCTAACCCTACATAAAAGTCATTCCAACCTGTTTTCAAGAGAGCCTTTCAAAGTTAAAACTAAACTTTTAAACTAAACTCTTAATTCTATTAATGATGTGTTTCTGGTGACAAAACCAGTCACCCTTAAGAGCTCATCGAAGTGAACAAGAGTGTATAACTTAAGGAAGGGAAAGTCCATTAAGCAAGTGCTAAAAATCCATGCCGGCAAGGGCAGCACTTCACCATAACTACTACAATCACATTAAATGATGTGAAAAAAGGAAGGAGAGGTAGTAAGAGACAAAACAAGCAAAAAAGAGTCAAAGGACCAAAAATTACATTTTTGGGCCACATACATCCTGCATTTATCTCATTCAATTAAGCCCAAAATTACTACTGGGAGATCTTGATTTACCCCTTTTTTTATTTAAATGATTTTTTTTTTTAAAGTTTGACAAGAAATGACAAAAAACATGTCTAGAGGCAAAAAGGACAAAAACATTTAAGCATCAAATTAAAGAAAGACATTTTTTTTTCATGTTCTATTTTAAAATATCATGTCAGAATTATTCAAATCTTGCTAAGTAATCATATAAAAAAATATCTATTTGCAATACAAACCTCAAAGCCTTGGTATTTAGGTTACTGTATTTATCATGGCCTCTTGACCTTTACTCTAATCTTTAGCTACATCCACAAATTCTCCATCAGATTCATATCAGGATTCAGAATCCAAAATGTTATTAGTTTTCATAGAAGTAATAATGCTATAAACATCTTACTAAAATCCAAGAATTATTTATGACTAAACCTGGAGGTGATATTATTTACGCCTGAACCAACTGTTTAACTTAACTCAAACATGCCATAAAAGCAAAGAAACTAAAAATTGCAGAAATCGCTAAATGTTAAATGCTGGAGCTTTTTTTGTTTTGGATCTTCTGTAGTTTGAAGAAGAGAAAATAGTAGAATATATATATTTTTAACAAAAGTATTTTCAACTGAAAAGTATATGTATTAATATAGACTATAAAAACATATGACCTGGAAAGCATTGGATGGAGAGGTAAATTTATATTTCTTATATAAAACAGTTGGATATACAGTTATAATCTTCATTCTGTACACAGCAAAGATTTGGTATTGGAATGAGAGCGGAGTCCTTCAGCTAAAAACGAAGTGTAATATTTTGATAAGGCTGGAGCCATTAATGTCTAATCATCTGCTAAAGTGTATGATGTAAAATAAGAAGATGTGGCAGACTGGAGATGTATGAAATGCCTTTTTAACTGTTTATCGGGGCCACTTCCCGAGAGGTGATCAGCTGCCATTCTGTAAATTCTAAGCAACTTCTCTAATCTGAGTAAGATTATAATTTGTATCAGAATCTGTTGTCATGTCTCCTGGTTATTTAATACATATAAGTTATGAATTGGTATTTAAAGAGTTTGTCCCGAGTGATCTCTTTTCAGGGAAAAGAACCGGAAGGATAGAGCTTCAATCTTTAACACTAAATCATGATATTAAACCTCTACTTGCACACTTGACCTCTCATTACCTCATTAGCATGGAGTATTTCTAAACTTTCTAACCTGAGCCTGACCTGAAGTTTGGGTTTTGATGTAACACAGGGGGGTCAGGTGTAGGTCAAGTTCAGGTCAGGCTCTAAGATTACTATTTTCCTCTGTCTCATGTGATATAAGCCTTAAGATGTAGTAACACGTATTATAAAATCAAGGACTAGTATTTTACTTGCTGTCTACTCTTTTGTGAAAATGGAGGAAGTGAAATTCAGCAGGTAACTAGACACGAGCAGAGCATGCAGTGTGCAGATAAACGTGGCCCTGCCTGGCACTCTGGACCAGCTATGGGTCAGTGCTCACTGTGCAGTGCACTTGCTGGGCGCGGTTTCACTGAGCGTTCCTTGCAGGGCAGTGGAGAACTACTAAAGTACGGACTGAATCAGTATAAAAATTTTTATTCACAACAGGTTTAGCTTGCCCTTAGGCCCACAATTCAAGTGTTTTTTTTGGTTGGCCTTGATAAAGTTGAGTTTGAGTCGGGCTGAATTTTCTGGGCCTGATCCATACCCTACATTATCGTGACCTTGGAGCTTGTTCAACCATGAAGACAGGACAAACTGGCTAATTAGATTTTCCCAAACTTCAGCACAACTAAATAATTGTTGCCAAATATTAGCCGATCAAATAAATCTTTATGCAGATAAACATCTTCTTTAACACATTTAGCCTTGAAAACCTAAAACAGAGCTATAATCATAAAAAAGACTCAGTATTGATTAGTGCTGTTGAATAATTTTAAAATGGCTTATTGGACTGTTTTCAGTGAGTGTCTGTGGAAACATTCCTCCATGTAGCTCCATGAAAAACATCTACAGTCTGGAGCTAATGTCTGTCTAACTCTTGTGTGACTATTCTTTGCCATCCATACTCAAACAGATTAAATAAGATTTAAATCACGTGAGAACAGGTGGGATGGTCCAAAAGAGGTATTTTTTCTGAAGGATGTTGTTAACTGCAATGTTTTCCTGTTGATGAACACATAAACCAGGACTCGCCAGCGTGAGGGAGTCCTGTTGCCACATCCCCATATCCTCATTTGACAACTTTGTACAATCTGAAGATCAGTTATCAAAGCCAGTGTATATTTTATTCATTACACTCTTAATTTGGAAAAATTCTACTTGAATGATACAAGGTGGGATTTTTTTGCCCTTCAAGTTACGTCGAAAGTCATCTGGAACGTTAAATCAACCTTTGACTGTCGTATATTTCCCCATTGCTTTTCAAGGTCCATACAGGGATGGCTTGTTGCCCTGGGCAGAGATGGCCTTTGAAGACATCGTTTGTTTTTTAAGTATGTCCCTCACAGAGGCTGCGCTATAATTACTAAGCTGTAGCCAGCCTCAGAAAGGGTATTAATTTGGGTCAAGGAGTGTGTCTTCATTAACAGTCTGCTGGATCCTCTGGCTCAGCACAGGTGGATTTATTTTGGGCATGTCTTTGTTTGTTCCACATGTTGTCAGGATGTTTTAAGAAATGCAAAATGTCTGTATAAGTACATCCAACCCAGGGCTGAGTAATGTTAGGAACCTCACAAAATAATTTTATTTTGATTCTTTGGCCCATGATGCGATTTAACATTGATTTAATTTTTTTTCTGTTAAGTACCTGTTGTTATATCTTGCCTATAGAAAAACAGCCATGGCATACCACTGAATAAGATAATATTTTCAGCAATTAAATCTAAGTAAAAACAAAGTACTGAATTGATATTGAAGTAAAATGCTTGTAAACCTAAATTTGTTTTCTTTTCTTTTAGAAATTAGAATAATTCTGTATTGGCCTTTGGTAATCAGGTCAAGCTGTTTTTACACGTTAACTCCACCATGTGAACACAGACTCACTTCAAGATTTCCTTGGAGTGGACAGTGCTGGATCCCTTTTTGTCAGGTGTCCCGAGGCAGCTGGACTTCAGCAGGGTGTGTGGCCCTCGGTCCAACATCATGGTCGAGGTTGCCGTGGCAATGACAGCCACTGCGTCACGTACCCTGGCCTCGATGTTGTAGTCCCATTCGTCATATGACACAGAGATGAGCCCTGGGAGAGAGAGGACAAAAGATGAGGTGAGAAAAAGGAAACATGGGGGCTGGGGAGCGATATTAGACTGAGGAGCAAAGATGCCAAAAAAAAAAAAAACAGCCAGAGAGCTAGTAAAAATTCCCAGAAGGTAAAGACTTACACAGCAAATAAAGTCAAGGCATTTTGATACAGAAGCTAAACTACAAATTTATAAATAAATAAAATTCTTACTATGATAGATGAGAGATAATGAAATTCAGGAATCATCCACCTAGTATACCTTATAAAACCACAATATCAGCCTAGACTTTGACACTGCAGCGTATAAATGAGCCCTTGTAAAAAAAAATAAAATACAATATTTAAATTCATTAATATAGAAAATAAGAATAAGATATTTATTTTTTAATAGTTTCCAAACTCACACAGAGCCATAGCTCTGTTAAATTGTCCTTTAGAAGGTAGGTTTAAGGTAGCTGAAATTAAAACTTTACTTAAGAAACCTTCACTGAATCTAAATGACTTTTTCAATTAGACCTATATCTAATCCTCCTTTCTTATCTAAAACTCTTCAGAAAATAGTTGCTTAAAAAGTATGTCAGCACTTAAACAATAATGACCTTTTGAAGAGATTCAATTTGGCTTTAGAGCTCATCATAGCACTAAAACAGCTCAGGTGAAAGGCAGTAAAGATATTCTCATGGCCTCAGATAATGGACTTGTATCTGTACTTGTCCTGTTGGATCTTAGTGCTGCATTTGATACAGTTGATCATAATATTCTTTTAGAAAGACTTGAATATTTTGTAGGATTTAAAGGAACAGCTCTAGACTGGTTTAAATCTTTATTATCTGACAGATTTCAGGAGGACTTCTTCTCAGCTATATCTGTCTATAAGTCCAGATGAAGGTAACCCAGTACATAGATTACAAGCATAAAAGACATAAAAACATGGCTGACTCTAAACTTTCTATTCCTGAATGCAGACAAAACAGAAATTATAGTCTTTGGACCAGAGTCTTTGAAAAAGAAGCTGATTACACTTCATTTGGATGGGATTAAACTGATTTCAGATAATAAAATAACATAAAAAAAAGTTGGTGTTGTTTTTGATCAGGACCTGTCATTTAAATCCCACATCAAAGAGGTTTCTAAAATTTCCTTCTTTCATTTCCAAAAATATCCTGTCCAGGGGTGATGCTGAGAAACTAGTCCATGCATTTGTTACTTCAAGGCCAGACTATTGTAATTCTTTACTATCAGAGCCCACAAACTGTAGTTGAAAGCCTTCAGCTGATCCAAATCGCTGATCAAAGAAAGATCACATCTCTCCTATCCTGGCTTCTCTTCATTGGCTTCCTGTTAAATCCAGAATAGAATCTAAAATCCTCCTTCTCACATAAAAAGCCTTAAATGGCCAAGCTCCATCTTATATCAGAGATCTGATTGTTCCTTATGTTCCTAACAGAGCACTTCACTCTCAATCTGCAGGTTCACTAGTGGTTCCTAGAATTTTTAAAAGTAGAATGGGAGGCGGATCTTTTAGTTATCAGGCTTCTCTCCTGTGGAACCAACTACCAGTTTTAGTCCGTGAGGCAGACACCTTGTCTACTTTTAAGGCTAGGCTTAAAACTTTCCTTTTTGTTAAAGCTTATAGTTAGAGTGGATCAGGTTATCCTGAGGTATCTCTATGGTTATGCCGCTATATGCTTAGACTGCTGGAGGACATATGGACCACTTTTTATCATTCTGCTACATTCTCTCTATTCTACTATTGGCTATTTCAGACAAATGAGCCTGAGCCTGGTTCTGCTGAAAATGTTTTTTCTTTTAAAAGCTAGTTTTTCCTCTCCTTTGTCGCTACATGTCCTTGAAAGTCAATAACTCAATACAATCAGTTGGTTCCGTAGATATAAAACGTTTGACCAGTCTGACTATATAATCTGATTGAATTGTCTCCGTAAAGTGCCTTGAGATGACGTGTTGTGAATTGCCACTACATTGATAAACTGCTATATACAAAAGTAACCCAATGCTTTTTAAATTGTATTTTCTTTTTTAAATTAAGAAAAAAATGGGAGCCAGGTATCAATTTGTTTTCACCTCACAAATGCACTTCTGCATTTACATTTAGTTATGTTACTTTAGAAAAAGATGAGAAGGTACAAGGGGCGTGAATACTTCTACAAGGCTCTTCTTGCTGAATCAATGAATGGATTCCTGACAGTGTACATTGGCTGCATATGTTGCATTCCTTGTGTCCAATTACATGGTACTGATATGAATGAATAATTCTTGGCATACCTATAGGGAAGACAGATGGAACATGGTCTGCATCACCGGCCACCAGTGAAGGTACAATCCAGGTGTAGCCATAACCTGTCAGCCCGACAGAGTGGGCCACTTCAAAAATAGTGGTTGCCTCTTCCTTGGTGCAGTATAGCAGGATGACAGGACTCTGCAGTTTCTTCATCTGATTCTGTATTTTTGAATCGCCATCGTCCACTGACATGTCCAGCAGGATGACTTCTTCTAGCTCCCAACCCACAAAGCTGTTCTCAATGGTGCTGCGGACCTGGTTGGAAAAGGAAGAGATCAACTGAGTGAGAAAGTGTGGGATATACACAGTTGCTGTGAAGGAGATGTACTGGAACGAAACTGACTGAGATGTCCCTTCCTCCTCCTCCTCCTTCAGCTCCCAGAAGGTTACACAGCTATTCTATACAGATCCCTTAAGAGTTGGAAGGAGCAATCAATTTTATTTTTGAACAGAACCAAAATGAGATGAGATACCAAGTCTACAGAGACGCTGTGGAGGCACTATGGTACATCGATGGCATAAGGAAGATGTAATGCATAAAGATGGCTTTCTATCTGCTACTGCATTTCAATCTAAATAACAGTTTAAGGTGAGAACATGAGCCCTATCTTAATCTCTAGTCTAACAGTACAATGACTCTTGAATAAAAGGCTTAAAAATTAAGATTCTACTCAACAGAATCAACTGTGGTCTCACATTATAACATTTACTTCCTTTTTAAACACACATTAAGAAAATATCTATTTTCTAACACCTTAACAGAGGAAGACAGCTTTCATAAATCTGATAATGCAGTATCAGACAGCATTCAGTATAACCAGATATTATTCCTTTTTTCATTATACTTTGTTTGCGCCATCTGTTTCAGATAACAGTTCCCCAAGGCTTTCAAAGTGTTTATTTGGAATCTGTCTGCTTTTTCTATTCATGTTCCATTAATGTCCTGTCTTTATAAAGTCCATTAGACAAGCATGCTTTAAAATGAGACATTAGACAACTGGAATGCAGAGTCTGACACCAGAATGGAGAGAGGCCCCAGGACACGAGCAAAGTTAGCCCCTACTTATGACCTCCTGGCCAGCAGGGGGCCTTCAAGAGCAAGATGGTTCTCACAGAGATCTAAAAATTTTATTTTTTTGTGTACATCTATAAGTCTTCTTATAGCTTTATAATGATTATTAACAGTACATGATTTTGAATTGAGAAATGTAAAGCTTTAACATCTTTTAATAGTTTTGACAAACAGATACAGGTGAAAATGTTCATAGTTTTTTATTTATTTTGTTTTTTTTACCGCATATAGTTTTATGACACTTTTATTTATTTATGTTCTTTGTGTCTGTACTGAGACTAAATTAATGAATAAATCACAGTCTTACATGATCTAGACTCAACCGATTAATGTGGTCCATGCTTTCAATTCTACTGTAGTCTGCATTAAAAGATGCACATTGCATACATTTGGCAGATCAGGTGCACAGTAGAAGCATTCCGTGGTGAGATGGTCAAGTAAAACACGTTATTTGGGAAATGAGGAAAATAAGTATATGAACACCCTGCTATTTTGAAAGTTTTCCCACTTAGAAATCATGGAGGGGTCTGAAATTATCATAGTACTATAGGTGCATGTCCACTGTTAGAGACATAAGTTACAAAAAAAAATCCCAAAATCCCAAAATATGATTTTTTATCTATTTATTCGTATAACATAGCTGCAAAGAAGTAGTTGAACACCTGTCTATCAGCTAGAATTCTGACCCTCAAAGTCGTGTTCGTCTGCCTTCAAAATGTCCACCTCCCCTCCATTTACTATCCTAAATTAGGAGCATGTTTGAGGTCGTTAGCTGCATAAAGAGCCTGTCCACCCCATCAAATCAGTAAGAATCCAACTACTAACATGGCCAAAACTAAAGGGCTGTCCAAATACCCTAGAGACAAAATCGTAATACTCCACAAGGCTGGAAAGGGCTACGGGGAAATTGCCAAGCAGCTTGGTGAAAAAAGGTCCACTGTTGGAAGAATCATTAGAAAATGGAAGAAGCTAAACATGACTGTCAATCTCCCTCAGACTGGCACTCCATGTAAGATCTTAGCTTGTGGGGTCTCAATGATCCCAAGAAAGTTCAGAAATCAGCCAAGAGATACACAGGAGGAGCTGGTCAATGAGGTGAAAAGAGCTGGGACCACCAGTTCCAAGGTTACTCTGAGTAATACACTACTTTGAAATCATGCATAGCGCGGAAGGTTCTGCTGCTCAAACCAGCACAAGGCCCATCTTAAGTTTGCCAATGACCATTTGGATGATCCAGAGGAGTCATGGGAGAAAGTCATGTCATCAGATGAGACCAAAATAGAATGTTTTGGTCATGTTTCCACTAACCGTGTTTGGAGAAGGAAGAATGATGAGGACCATCCCAACAACACCATCCCTACAGTGTAGCATGGGGGTGGTAGCATCATGCTTTGGGGGTGTTTTTCTGTAGATGGGACAGGGCGAATGCACTGTATTAAGGAGAGGATGACCAGGGTCATGTACTGTATTGCAAGATTTTAGGTAACAACCCCCTTCCCTCCATTAGAGCATTGAAGATGGGGCGAGGCTGAGTCTTCCAACATTACAATGACCAGAAGCACACAGCCAGGATAACCAAGGAGTGGCTCTGGGAGAAGCATATCAAGCTTCTGCTATGGCTTAGCCAGTCTCCAGACCTAAACCCAATAGAGAGTCTTTCGAGGGAACTCAAACTCTGTGCTTCTCAGCGACAGCAAAACCTGACTGATCTAGCGAAGACCTGTGTGGAGGAGTGGGTCAAAGTCCCTCCTGCAGCATGTGCAAGCCTTTGGAAAAACTACAGGAAATGTTTGACCTCTGCGATTTCAAACCAACTCTACTGTACCACATATTAACATTGATTTTCTCAGGTGTTTAAATACTTGCAGCTGTATCATACAGATAAATTGTTTAAAAAAAATCATACATTGTGATTTCTGGATGCAAAATAGCAGGGTGTGCAAATACTTATTTTCCTCACTGTATATGTATGATGCTTGGTTGATCATTATGGGAAGAAAGGTTTAAAGTACAATGCCAAGCTTCAACACTTAAACAACATAACGATGCGTTCCCTGTCTATGCTGATGGCCTTGTAAGTAGAGCCTAAGGACTTTATTTGAACAGGGTGTGGCTCACAGCCTATTTTGAGCCACGTGCAATCGCATTTTAAGGATTTACACATGAATAAACAAACGTACTAAAAGCATTGAGTGTTTTAAGAAAGGTCAACTAATTTCTCATTCTTGCAGTTGTGAATACACTAAATTGGATTTTTGATGAAGAGAATAGAAAACAATCCTTAAAGAAATGCAGCAAATTAAATCCCTATTTTAATAAAACAAATGTACAAGGATTTACAGATCACCTCTTGTGAAATACTTGCTTCCTACCATCAATTTTAAGGGGAAACCTTTAAATGTCTTTTTTAAATTTTTTTTTATTTTTTTCAGACTACCATCATAACCAACACTTCTGGGCTAAGCAGGCTCAGAATCACCAATTTGCCCCTGTGCCTTTAAGCTTCAGATCAAGAGTGGATTATTTTATTTACTGTACAAAGATATTAAATATCTCTCTTTAATCTTCTTACTTAAGTTTATGTATAAAACCTATACAATCTACAACATAACACCGGAATGATATGCGTAGGAATCATTATCACTTTTCTATTTAAGATAAAGAAACTAGAGCATTGCTTTGATTTTTGTGATAGTTATGTTAAATATTTTTACCCTCTGCTCATACCATAAAGACTTTATAGCAGTACATTCCTATTAGATTAACAAAAGGGTTTGTTTATCTAATTTTATTAACAGTACATTTTGAACAGTAAAGGTTCCCAATCATTTAAGAAACTATGTTTTACTTATGCACATCTCCAGAGAAATGCTGGCCTGGTGTCCAAACCTTCGCATGGATCTGGATGAGTCAGATGAGACGAAATAAACCAGATCATTAAGAAGACACAGAGGTTAATGAGCGCTTATTATTCTCTTTTATATGACTATTTCCTTTTCTACCTTGAATTGGGTTCTTTAAAGCAAAGATGACTGAGCTTCTGCAATATTCCTTTAAGGTGTGGTTTGATGACTTTCAGTAACCTTCTGCTGTTTCTCAGAGGTATGTCTGAAGCTATTCAGGAGGTCACTTTGGCCTTTTATTTTATAGGGTCTGTTCCCTGAGATAAGCAGGCTGTCGCTGCATCCAGAAGGACAAGTCCGTCCACTCGGCCTCCTCCATTAAAGCAATGAGAAAATGCAAAGAGCGATTCACTTGAAGCAAACTCTGCCAAGCTTAAACATTTTGAAATGCTGATATTTAGGAATTTAGAACCAAAGGATGTGTGACTGGAGACAGATGAGTTTAGGACCATTTCAGCAGCTTGAATACAGTCCTGACAGAATAAATTGCAACAAGGAAAATATAAGGATGGATAAGTGATTCACCAGGATTGTGAAAGAAAAGAAAGCAACTACTACTATAGGATCACACTGTCAATGCCTCTTTTTTTGTGTTTACCTTGTTGATAAAGTCCTGGTAGCCGGGGTAGTATGTGGTGACGATAGAGAAGATGTACCAGTCATACTCCTCCATGATGTTTAACATGACGGACGCCTGCTGCTCGATGGAGGGGCCAAACTGGAAAAACATCGAGTGGTCGTCCTGGAAACCAGAGACATAGGACCAATCAGAAAACAAGGTCGTGCATCATACAGCATGAGGCAGAGCAGGAAGGTAGGGCAAAGATGATTGCAGAGCATGTCTGACTCCAGAAGGCCTCAGGAAAAGTGAGTGGTTTAAACCATGAAGCATATTTCTGTCTATTTAATATACTATAAAAATGCATGATATTCTATCATTGCATAATGATTTTAAAACACATTCTTAACTAATTTCGAGCATTGATCAACATGTAAATACAAATGAACATTTATTAAAATAAGATCTTATTTGTAAAAGTATGCTTCATCAATTTCTGTCATGTAAAACAAAAACAAACTTGAACCTGTTTTCCTGGGATTTAATGGGATAGATCAACACAAAGAAGCACATAACAGTAAAGTGAAAGGGAGACAATAAATGGTGATGAAAACAGGCAAAGGTAAAGGAACAAGTCTGCAAAACCTTTTTTAGTCTGACACTCCTTAATTAAATCTGGTCCAATGAAACACATTAAGAAGCCTTATCCAAAGGTTTAGGAGTTTGAAACCAGGTGCAAACATGTTAGTATGTGCAAAGCTGATTTACACCTTCTTGTAGATCTGACCATGGTTTCTTCAAAGAATGTCTGTCAGATTGGAGTGGGGAGCTGAAATAGTCAGCTTTTCAAAGTTTTATTTTTGATATTTAAATTTTTACTTACGGTATATCTTTTATTAATCTTTACTTTTAATTGTACCACTTTGAGAAACGTATATGTGAAGTTTATTTCAAGTAATATGCATTATTATTATAGTTACATTTTCTTAATTAATAATTAACATTATTACCTCAAACTTCATGGCTTAGAACTTTCTGTAAAACTGTATTTCTTTGACAACCACTCCCAAACTGTCAGTAGAATAAATACACTGATTTGGTGTCTTTTATACACTGCACATGTTAAGTTTGTAGATCCACTGCTAAAAAGTCAGTAATTGCACATACAAGTTTTGTTTGTTGTTGTTTTTAACGACCAATTTAGCAATCATTTGGATTCTTTGAAGATCTGGTCGTATGTGGGGAGGGAAACATAATCCCAGATCCTTCCTCCCAGCGGCTGAAAGACTTTATAAACATCACTGTTCCCAACAAACTTACTAAGTTGTCATATTCCTGCTGATTTTTGCAGTTTCCATTTTAGGATTAAATAGTTAGTTAAATAACATGCTGCTGTCATTTTTGCACATCTCTGGTGTTTGCTGCTATTTTCGGATATCCAATACTCTAAAATATCCACGGCTGTATAAATTGATTATTCATTATCCAGATGCACAAAAGTTATATTTTAAAAACACTGTACAGTATAGTATTTTATTTGTTTATTTTTTAAGTGTAATTCTATACACTTTTTAAGGTCCAAATTTGTGTGACCACCTTTATCTTTTGCTGTGGTAACACAATAATTTACTCTTGTTGGACAATAAAGGGATTTTCTAATTTTTTTTATTCTATTTTAAACAAACTAACCTCATCATCTTCTAAGTAAACCATGGTGGTGACAGCATTAGGCTATGGGAATCCTGTTTTGTAGCAGTGACAAAGACAATGGTCAGAGTGGTGTCAATGGTTATTGTCTTGTAACTAACAATAAATCTGCAAAAGCTGTAAATTCTACCTTGGCCAGTCAGACGGTTTTGATTTTACAAAGATTTTACAAAGAATCTTTCTTTCAATGTTATTTTCCCTGTGGTAGATACAATACATGGTAATCTTTTATTTTTCCCTGAGGACCTTATTTGACGCTTAGATGCCACCAAGGACATTCACTCATTTCAGAACAGCCAGCAAACTTACTGGGAACAAAAGTGTCGACATTTACTATTTACAAACACAAAAATCAAAAGGAGACACAGAACAAACCTGACCCGAACCTTCTTATATACAGTATAAGAAGGTTCTTATATACAGTATATACATTTTGTATGTGCAATTATTCATATCTCTATACATTAAGTGCCTATAGTTAATCTATAGATTAAGCTGTGTTTTTTACAGCTCTGAACTAATTGTGGTTTCTGATTTACAGGAGTTTAACTTAGCCAAGTCTGAAATGGAGTCTGTTGAGTGTCAAGCAGTAATGCGCACACCACCGGAGAATTTTGATCAAATGAAAGTAACTTATGGTTATTACATGGTCATACAATGGGGCTTTATCACCGTCACCAAGTTACTTTTAATTCATCGTAAGTCTCCAGTGGAATGGGTCCTTTCAAATACAAAAACTGGATCATTGCTCGACACTCAACAGGCTCCATTTCAGACTTGACTCCGTCCAAACACCTGTGAATCAAAAACCGCAATTAGTTCAGAGGTTTAATTTGCCACTCAATCTACAGAGATATAAATATTTGCACATGCAAAATTCTAGTTTGATCAAATAACTGGAAGTGGGATATAAGGGGTCTTTCTGCATGGAGTTTGCATGTTCTCCCTGAGCATGTATGGGTTCTCTCTGGGTACTCTGGCTTCCTCCCACAGTCCAAAAACATGACTTTTAGGTTAATTGGCTTCTCTGAATTTTCCTTAGGTGTGAGTATGTGATTGAATGGTTGTTTGTCCTGTTTTTCTCTGTGTTGCCCTGCGATGGACTGGTGACCTGTACAGGCTGTACCCCGCCTCTCGCCCGTAAGCAGCTGGAGATAGGAACCAGCACCCCTTGCAACCCTGCTTGGCAGAAGCGTGACGAAAAATGGATGGATATATACATACACACATGTAGTAGCACTGCTCTGTTATCATCTTCCCCTTCATCCACTGTTTCCCCACAGGGAAAGAATGAATGTGTCCCATAGTTTTCAAGGTAATGATGTGGTTATAGCCTATCATTGTCAAATGATGGTAGCAGGACTAGCAGAGTTGGATCAAATTGTGTTTGTGCAGGTTGGATCCTGACATATTATCCACTTTGGCAGTATGGCAGCGCATAAACACCACTCTGTTAAAGCAGGTAATGAATGCATTCTAGCATGTGAGTGGCAGCTGGCGCACCGTTCACCCTTTAACTCACACCTTCTTCCAAAAAACCACAGCCTTTGTAGTGTAAGCAGTAACATAAGCATTTTTTGTGGGTGTGTAAATTTTTTCATTTTACTTTTAATAACCATTTTATATTTTGTATATTTTTGGTTATTATGTGCATACTTTCAGAAAAAAAATTTTAATTAATGAGGCCATCTGGCAACGTTAGCATTTAGGTCTTCAGTTGTTCACGTGATGCACTCGATAGAAAAATTTGAGTTATTGTGCAAGCGGTATGCTAAGACAAAGGAATGTGAAATATGAAGAAATTGACTTCTAGCAACTCCTTACCTTCCGGTTGGAGGCGCACACGGTGTGGACAATTGAATGAAAGAGTTTTGTGTGTGGATGTGTGTATTTTTATTTTTTTTTTAAGGGACCATTAATAATTTATTTAATATTTTAACATGGTGGTTTCACTGATGTGTTTTTGCCACCATTTATTTTATTCCCGTGTTCACAGTGGTCTTGGGTGTTCCTAACACAGAAACGTTTGAACCATCAGTCGGAGCGTGGCCCTTTCAACCAGTTAAGAAAAAGTTGGGAGCAGCTATAGCCTTTATAGACAGAGGTTTCAATATTGTGCCTCCTCGTTGACACTTCCTCCTAAGTTGTAGAGAGTAAAGCTGAAGGTGTCCCAGTCTACCTTAGGGTTTGATGGAGTGTTTAACACTCCTGAGTACTGCCTTAGCCTGAAACATTTATTGCTGTCATAAATGTGTTAATAAGGATGACATAATCAAACTGTAAAATTTGTTGGAAGTTTTAGAGATTAGGCAGAAACAGGGGTAAACTTTCAAGTCTTGCATCAATTTCTTATTTACATTTAGCTATTAATATACCATGATGTATCTAATAAAAAAGAATAATTGGAAATGAGACAACAGTAGCAGTGAAGTAAAACCCAACAATCCTGGCAAAGAGCAGCTCTCTGTTTAGTTACTTGGCTGCTTTGGATCAGCCTATGTCCTTTGCACTCTCTAATTTGCTCAAACAGTATCATTTCTCCTTCAACCCCACGTCCCCCCTGCTTTGTCTTGATCTCATTTATTCTTTCTCTACGTCTCCTTTCTAAAAGTGAGTGATGTACGGTGTAATCACTCATGAAATCAAGCCTGCCATTCATCGACTACTGTGAGGGCACCGCTTTCTGAAATTATAGCTAATCATTGTCACATTCTGTTTTCTTCTTCAGATCTTAATAGCCTTATTTTTTTGTCCCGTCTATTATTCACACAGCATTGCGGTGAGTGTATTTTTCCTCTTGCTTATTTTTTTGACTTCTCCAACATCACCCTGTCTTTTCCTCTTAGTCTCCCATTTTTACATAATGGCCTGTGCCACAGAGGTGTGAAGTGAATGTTGTTGTACAGTCTGTTTGCAGCATTTAGTAGAGCTGCCTGCCTCCTCATATTTTTTTAAGCATCACATAATATTTCATTAAGCGTTCAAACAAAAGGGCTAATTCCCTAATTTGTCTTCAGCCTCCGTGGATGTCTCCATGTACTCACAAACCCGATGCTCTAAATGCAAAGTTTAAACGGTCCAAAGTCTACAGCACTGGATCAAGGTCAGTTTCCCTGGAAGACTTCATGTTTCCCTTCTTCATGCATTCATTGTTAAAGCAGCTTTAAAGAGACTGTACCTCTGGAACACCACGATATTTAAGCTCCAATGCCATTTTCATTTTTCTCTCATACTGGCTGCAAATGTATATCCCAGACGGCCTGAGCTCAGGTATTCATGGCAGAGTATGTATGTCTCAGCATAAAGAAGCCCTGTTGTAAATGTTCATGTGTGGTTTTTCCTCTAACAAGCTTAAAAGAAGATTGGTATTTCACTAGACCTGTTTTCTGTATTCCTGAGCTCCTTCTATGGGTGAAGCACACTTTTTATTCAAAGGTTTTATTGAATGTATAGGTTAAGTATGTCCCACTTGCTTC